CTACTGCGATGGCTGCTTTGTTGTCTACGAAGATCGGCGTGGGGGTATTCGGTAGTAATTGCGCCTCCTTCAGTATTCTTCTCAGCCACTGTGTTGTCTGAACTGCTGTCGTTGCCGCTATATATTCGGCTTCGCAGGTGGAGAGGGCTTGTAAGGACTGCATTCCTGAGCTCTATGCGATCGGGGCGCCGTTGAATAAGTGAACTGCTCCGGACGTCGACTTGCGATAGTTGTCGTCACCTGCTAAGTCCACGTCTGTATATGTGTGTATTGGGTGCGGCTTGTAATTTTCTCCTTTGAAGAGCATGGCGACTAGGTTTGTTCGTTTCTCCGTTGCTTTGTATAAGATGCCTTCGTCCTTGGTCGCCTTAAGGTACAGCAGTGTGTTTTTTAAGATTAACCAGTGTCTTCTGGTTGGGTTTTGCATGGCGCCAGACAGCTTATTGACGTAGAAGTTTATGTCGGGGCGGGTGCAGTTTGTTATGTAGCGCAGTTCGCCCACGATTTTTTCGAACGTTTCTGCCAGGTGTGGAACTGGCTTGTCATCAAAGGATGCTGAATGCTATTTGACTCCGCTGGCAAGGGGTGTGTCTCTACCATCAGCTTCAGTCATGCGCGCATTGTCCAGGGCCAATTCCGCATAGCGAGGTTAGCTTATGTGTACGGATCCGTCTTCGCCGTGAGATATCTTCCATCCTAGGTACAGTGTTGGTTGCCCTAGTCTTTTGATTTTGTACTTGTTTTTCAACGTGTCGTACAGTTCGGAGATGAGGTCGTGGTGCGTGGACACCACAAGAAAGTCGTCGGTGCTTAGGCCGATGAGGATATATCTCTGTTTGTTTTGAATTTTGTAGAAAAAGCATGGGTCCTGCTGACTCGTGTGTACTTGTGTTGTGTGAGCAGTTTCTGTGCTCCTTGTATGTAGTAGTACCCCCCTGAAGGACTACCGTATAAGCTTTTGAGGAGTTTTTCTCCTTTTACGCCGTGTTTGTAGTATCCGTTAAGTCGAGGGTTTTGTTTGACGTACACGTCTGCGTCGAATTTGTAATTTTCGTGTATGAATGCCGACTTGATGTCGAAGTGTTCGGCAATGAGTCCCTTTGCGGCTTTGATGGCCAGTAGCAGTCGTATAGTTGTTTTGTCGGCCAGCGGGGCGGCTGTGTGGTCTGGGTATAATGCTGGTGGGAGCGCATGAGGTCTCCCCTGAGGGAGCATCTGGCTTTTCTTTCGATTATGTCCCCTTCCGCTGTCCGTTTGTATTTGTATCCCATTGTCAATGGGATTAGCTTTGCTCCCGTGGGTATGTCTGCATCGGGTACCCATTGGATGGCCTTGACCTCATCTAGTTTGTCTAGTTGGGCATTGTGGGCTTGACCCCATTGTTCTGCGTCTGGGTATCGGTGCGCCTGTTTACGCGATGCTGGTGGAGGGGTTCGTTCCGTTATGCTGTGGGGGTCTGGTGGTGACATGTGGCATTTAAATGCGTTCGAGTGTGCGCTTACAGGGTCCGTCTGTCGACTGTATGGTGTAAAGTCTGTCGTTCGGGTTCGTTTGTATTGTCCGTTTGTGAGGTTCAGAACTATTATCCTGTGAAAATTGATTGCGTGCATGTATCGGGCTGGGTATGCGCGCGGGTGTAGTTTTTGCATTCTATTTTTGTCCATGATGACGGCAACTGTTCCTAATTGTCCAAATGCGTAGAGCTCGCTGATGGACGGGGGTGTTCCGAACCACAGTGTGTGCGGTACTTGCCCCGTGGTGCTGTGTCTTGATAGGTTATATTTGAACACCGCGTCCCGGAGCGCGTCTTCCCAGTATTGTTGTGGTAGTTTGCTGTGGTAGAGCGCGGCTCTTGCTGCGCTGACCAGTGTCCCATTCAGCCGTTCTGCTATGCCGTTTTGCTGCGGTTGGTACGGTATTGTGGGTTTGGCGGTTATTCCCTCGCCGTCATAGTAAAGCCTTGCCTCCTTGCTGGTATATTAGCCTCCATTATCTGTGGTCAGTATCTGTGGTGCTCGTCCGTGTATTTTTTTGACGAATTCTATCGTGTTCCGTATGTGTTTTATGACGTCTTTGCGTGTGGCTATGAAGTATACTAGCGCATATCTCGACATGGTGTCGATGAACGTGACAAAGTATTTGTTTCCGTGCGCCGACTTTGGGGTTATTGGTCCGCATACGTTGCATTAGAGGGCCACCGCGACTTCGTATCGATGTTCGGTTTGCATGTGCGGCTTTGGTCGTCGTTTGCCGTGGGCGCATCCTGAACACGACAGCCGGGGCGGGGTTTGTTCGAGTATTGGGGGAAGAGGTAGGAGTTCCTGTATTGCCATTTGCTGGAGTGTGCGTAGTTTGATATGATTAAAGATTAGGTGATATTCATAGATTGCAGCGTCTTTGGTCGAGAGTTTCGTCGGGGTTGGGGCTATGTCAGGGAGGTACACAGTGCGCTCTGTTTTGTTGTCCGTTTGCCTTTGCGTCGTTTTTTGTCCTATTTGTTTGCGGCCTTTGTTTCTGTCGCGTTCTATTATCGTTTTCACGTGTGGCTGCTGTGGTGGCTGTGTTATGCGGGGTGTGGTCCGCTGTTTGCGCGTTGTGTTCGGTCTGCGTTGTGGCCAGGCTCTGACCGCGTATGCCAGGCTGCTTTCGGCGCTGTTGAGTTGGTATTGGTTGTTGCGCCAAGTTGCTGTCCCTGCGATGAGTGGTGCTGGCTTTTTGGTGTTGAGGATGTACCCCTTTTTCTGTGAGAAGAGCACATGTCCGTGTTTTCTTGCGAGCTGATTGACAGAGATCAGGTTTGTGCGGATGTCGCGGTGGATTACTGCCGGGAGTTGTATTTTTACACCGCGGTCAGTTTTCGTCCTCAGAATGCCCTGGTGCGTGGCGGCGTTTGATGTAGATGTGGCGGTGTGAGTGGTCAGTGGTGTTTGCATTTTCGGTACCCTGTGGTTGATGTGCGTGGGGTGTGCCGCTGAGTCGAGGATGTACTTACGGTCACTTCCATGTGCGACCTCTGTGTAGTTTTGTAATCTGTTTTCTATGGCGTTGATTGTGGCTTGGTCTAAGTCATCATCGACGTCATACATGTCCTCATTTGTTGTCGTGCTTTGCCCTTGCGTGCCCCGTTGTGGCGTGCGCCTATTTCCGGCTCCGCGCCGAGGGGCGCCCCTTTCGCTTCGAGGGTCATTGAGGGCGGCCATGACTTGGGCGATTTGTGCGACCTGGTGTGCGTTGATGTCTATGTTTTGTCCCCAGCGGCCTCTACCTCGCTCGCGCCGCCAGCGCTCTTCGTAATTGTGATGGGCTCGTCGAGCGTGGTGCGTACGCAGGGTGAGGGGTCTGTAGCCCTCGCCCGAGCTTGCACGTTGTGGGACCGGTGTCGGTGTTGGGTCGGTTTTTGTGTTTTCTTCTTCAATTTCTTGTACTCTCTCATAGAGTTCGTCGATCGTGTGTGGGATTCCGATATTTTTAGGGCGTGGATCACGTCTTTGAACTGGTGGTGTTCTCTCAGGCCCTCTACCATAAATTTTACGGTTGTGCGTTCGTTAGCAATGTGAGGGTATTTGGCTGTTAGCATGCGAGCTCTTTGGATGCGGTGCCTTCTGATGTAGTCGGGTATTGTTGTGTTTGTTGTCAGTTTGATTGCCTTGGTCTCTTTCTCGAGTATAGCGTGCGTGGTCTCCGATTCTTTTGCGAGTATCGCGTCCAGCACTTCGACGACTGAGGATGGTGGCTTGGCGTATATGTTATCTGGGAGTAGGTCGGTGATGTCGTTTTCGATGCTTGTGGCAATCATACGATTGCAGCTCGCGAATGCCTTTGCATAGAATGTGCTGGTGTCATGTGTTGGGGGCGAGAATCCAGGTTGTGCGATGGCTTGGAGGTCGTGCTCGATGAGGATGTTTTTAGTGTGGATTTCCATTTGAGGTAGTTACGCTCTGTGAGTTTTGGGAGTTCCTCTCTGAATTCCCACTGTGGTTGTGCGTCTTGCATCATGATCTGAGGTGTGGCGTGCTGTTGTGCCCCTTGTATGGAGGTGTTCTGTGTACCTTCTACTACCGGTGGAGTCATTGTGTTGTCCCGTTTTTCTTGTTGTGCGCTGTGCCAAAGTTCTTTCCAGGCATAGGCTGTGTGTTAGTAGTGTCTGCGTCTCCCGCGTGGGGATGTGGGGAATGTAGACTAAATTTTGGGTTGCTCGACACGGGTTTGTGGAGCTTCTCGACTTGATTGGCAAGGAGCGCGGGCTCGACGCTATGTGTTGCGGAGCTTGATGATGGTCAGGCGGTGGTAGCGGCTTTCTTTAGCGAAGGCCCATAACCTGTGGCGTCTCGAGATGCCCCCCTCCTTTACTTTCGCTCTTCTCTATCCCATCCCTAATATACTCCCCGCCGTCGCCGCTGCCGGCGGTGTCCGTCGTGTCCACCTGTCCACGTGGACAGGTTGCGTCCTGGCACCGAGGAGTGACGAAAGCGTTTCGCAATTGGACAGTGTGGGATATTTAGACACGGCAAAAATTGTTTATTTTTTTAAAATGGCAACAAAACAACTGTCCAATGTCTCCCTTGGAATCAACTCTAGCTCCTTTGTCCCCGGGGTGGGCGGTGGCTTCTGCAGCGTCTTCGCCCTCGCCGCGAGCGTTTTCTGCCTCATGCTCGTCAATATCAACCTCCCCCTCAGTAACATCCGCGGCGTTCGCATACGAGCTAGCGGCTTCATCCTCGTTATGGCCCCCATCTTACGGGGTGTGCAAGCCGTCCTCATGCTCTTCGGCATCCTCGTGCTCACTACCCTCCTCGTGCACCTCCTCTTTCACCTCCGAGTGCTCCTCCACATCCGCCATGTCGCGTCTCTTCGTCGGTAGGGTTCCTTCGACAATTTCCGTCAAATCAATTGTATCTCTCCTCTTCCCATCCTCACGTTCACTCGCGCTGTTCGCGTCGTCCTCATCGACGTCTTCATCGACAACGTCGTCCACGTCATCGTCGTTGGCCTCGTCGAAGCTATCCTCCGTCCCGTCGACATCGATGGGGTCCTCCGTTGACGATGGGATGGTTGACGAGGTCGATGACGGCGTTGTCAGGGGACAAGACAACAACGTCATCGTCCGCGTCGTAATTGTGTGAGCTCTGATACGCTTCGGCTTGAGCTACTTCGTCTGAGTGATGCCGAAAATGCAAATCGACACCTCCGGCGTGGATATCAATTAAAGGTCCCAAGACGTTGGAGACCATGGCTGAGAACTCGATGTGCCACCCCGGACGGCCTGGCCTCCAGGGCGATTCCCACGTGAGCTCGCCATTCTTGCTCTTCTTCCAAAGAACAAATTCACCTGGAGCCTTCGTTTGAGATCTAATGCAGGCGTCTGCAGCTATGAGTGCTCCCTCACCCTCTGCGATAAGCGATTGATTGCCGACTGAGCCAGGTTCAAGTTTTCCGTAGTTTTGTCCTGCATCAGTGAAAGCACCCGTGTCAAAGTAAACCGATCCAGCGCTTTCGTAGGCGAACTCATTTTGGATGATTTGCTTAATGTAATCAATTACTTCGGGAGTGTACTCAGACGAGTCGCGTGTGAGAAAATCCGGTTGCTTGACGTTCAGGCTATCCATGTTCTCCATGAACTCGGTTTCAATTCATGAGCCAATACTTCAAAAGATATATTGTGCTCGGTGGCTCTTTTGATAATCTTGTCATCGATGTCTGTGACATTCATTTGAACGATAAGGTCGTAACCAAAATAATCACTCAAGATACGTGGAACAACATCAAAGCGGACATAATTGGAGGCATGCCCCACATGAGCAGAGTCATACACATCAGGGTCCCAAATGTACCAAGGGACCCTATTGCCGCCATCACGTGGTACAAATGGCTCTTTCTGGCCAGTAAAACTGTTGAGAACTCTCAAGCGGCTCTTGGACGAGTCGTCAGGTCCTTGCCATAGATAGTAGCCTTACTGTTGGTTCATGTTACGCAAGTGTGAAGAAGGCTGTGCGATGAAACGTCACTGCCCACTGATCTAAATCACCTCCCCATCGTTTCGCCCTCCCACTCGCCATGTCCACCATCTACGACCAGTTCTCCCCCGACAACCTTTCCAAATCTGCCTGTCGTGACCACTACGGAACCTTCCTCGCCCTTGGCTCCCGCAGATAGTGTACAGTCAAAAAAGGTAGTGTGTATTTGTAGCGGTGTGTCATCACAATACCATTGCACAAAGAGATGGGAAAATTGCGCAAATCCTGCTCTTCGCGCACCCATCCCGCTAGGGCGAGCTGGTAGAAAACTGGCAGAAAACCAAACAAATCTTGCAGGCGCGAGTCACGAACTACCGTTAGGCAGTCATATAAAAAGGCATGAGTAGATGTCAAAGTAGAGCAAGTCGGGCCGCCCGGGTAAAGCGGTTATTCGGGGCAAGATCAGAAAGCAGGTGATAGCACCGACCCGAGTCGGCAGTGAAGACGGAAAATTCGGGTGACGACGAGTAGATTATGTGTGCAATGACATATTTTGGTAGGCCATCGAGTACTCAAACATGGCGTTCGATGAACAGCGCATGGAGGATGAGCGGCGAGAGGATTCGGCTCTCCTGTCCGATTTGGAAGACGAAGGTGCTGGTGGTGGTCGGCAGGGAGAGAGGCATCGAGTAGGCGGGCCACGCGGTGGCTTATCAGCCGAGGAGGTACTGGCAGGATGGGGGGCATTTGAAAAAACTTGCTGGAACGATGGTCGTGATGAGCCTGGGGCGCAATTGTTGCGCTATATACGCCTGCTGCGAAGCGCGTTTCGAGCGAGGTCCGAATTCCACCCCCTCCCCTCCAAACTCCATCTAATTTATGGACTGAGACGCACGTTGCGTTCAGATTGAGTGTACTACCACTGTGCTACGCAATGCGATTCCGTATGAAATGTGTGGGATAACTCCTCTCCGCCCTGGGTTGGGTGAGAGGCGGAGGCTTTAGCGAGGGAGCATGCGGCGCGGACGCGACGCGCCAATTGAACCGATCGGACGAGCTCGCGAAAAGGGAGTGGCTCACTGGCCGGTTACGCGCAGTCGCCCCGTGGTGCGTAAACGGGAGCGACCGGTAACGGGTTAGAAGCCAGCGCGCGCGGCGGACAACCGAAACGGACGTACGTAGGCGCAAAAGGGACGGGGGCGAGCTTGCCCCCGTTTACTGGTGGGGACGGGTGCCAGGTCTTAACCCCGCAGGGGGACGCCTCCGACACCTGTCCCAGTACAGTAGTACAGTACCTGCCGCCTAGTGCGTGCCGGGTACTGCACACAATTAAAAAACTAGCGCCATAATTGCTACTACCGCACGGACGCTGCTACTACACGTGTGCACTACTGTACACGCGTGTTGCTTACAGACTACCGCACGGACGACACGTGTGCTAACGCGCACGCGTAACACGCGTAGACTACCGCTCGGACGACACGTGCACTACTGTACACGTACGCCAGATTACGACCGCTCGGCATGCGCGCGCGCTCGCTACACGTGGGCACAGCCGCCCACGTGTATACCGTATACGGCCGTCCGATGACCTCCGCGCGCTCGCGCCGGTCATTATACTACAAAATGCACAATGCACTCATCTCGCACTCCAGGTTACATAGCATTCACGGAGGGCGGTATGAGTGCAGAACTGTCATATACTCATGCCGCTCTCTGGGTGCACTCCAAGTGCCACCAATAGGAAGTTTTGTGGCCAACAGCGGCAACAATTCGCGTTCACAGTGCACTCAAACATGCTAAAAATATCAAATTGCACTGTAGGTGCACTCAAAAAATCCATTTTTTCTAGGGAAAGAGCAAAGTGAGTGCAAGAGGGTTCAGGCGGACTTACATCGTGGTCTTCTTCCGTGAAATTGACGAAAGGCTTCGGGCGAAAGATGCCAGTGGAATTGATGAAATGGATAATGCTGGCGTCGTTGGGCATGTTCCCAATGCGTTGGATGAGAGTTTTGGTGAAGTCGCCCCAGTTTGGCCAAGAGGACGAGGCAGACGTCGACCGCAACGTCCTTGGAGGAATGCTCTTGCAGAAGACGCTGACCGTCGACGGGACGGGCCTCACTGCGGGAAGCGAGGATGGAGGAGACGCCGCGACGCACAGCGAGACGGGCACAGATCACGTCAATGCCGGAGCTGCCGCCGATGGGGAGAGCGGTTTGGAGAGGGGTGGTGGGCTGCATTACTGGTCATGAGGCGGAGTGGTGAGTGGTAGAGATGAGTGAAGTGAGAGGTGTAGATGCATCGCGAGTGTGCGCGGACCGGTGAGGGGGTATTTATACAGGGAGGAAATGGAGGAAGGGAGCGACGAGGGCGAGGGGAAGGGGAGATGTGTGCATGATGGGAGCGAGGACGGGTTGAGATCCTTTCTCTCTGGGCCATGGGGAAACGAGGGAGGAGAGGAGTTCTTGTGAGGGTGGCCGAAAGAAGGCGGGGTAGGGGATGCTGTAGGAGGACGGAAGGAAACGGGACAGGGCAATTGATTGCGGAGTCAGGCGATTTTATTGAATGTGTGGCGCGCGTGAGAGTCACGTGGCACTTGTCTCCTTACGCCGCCGTCCATGACCTACGCCGCACCATATTTCCCCTAAATTACTCTTGGGCGGCCTGAAATTGGGTCAGGTGATCATCCGTTTGTCATCGCAGCAGGTGCGAATTCCTCTTCGTATTAGCACGCTCTTCCTCGATTGTACTTGTTGTGATGCCTTCTTCATCAACTTCAAGTATCTGCAGTATTGTTGAACCGCTCTCACAATCATGCACTCTCAACGACACCAGCTCAGTGACCGCGCTCTCGACATCGGACAATTTCTCGCAAAGGAATGACTCCATACTGCGTCGCTGCCCCTGCAGACACTGCAGTGCCCATTTAGCGAAGCGCGGACACGACTGTTGCGCTTTCTGCAAACGCGCTCAAACTGGCTTTCGCGGCAAAATTCTGATGCAAAAATGAATATCATTCCTGGCGAATATGAAAGCAGGTGGCTGAGGTGTGCACACCTGCAAATTCCGACACAGCCATGGCTGTGTCGGAATTTGCAGGGCACTTTGCGCAACTATCGAAATGAAATAATTTAGAGATGCTTCGATGTCCTAAGTACTGAGCCCACTTGGACTATTACTGTTGTGGAAAGGGTGTTGCAGTGCAATGTGCCTGGCAGGCCGCGAACACAGTCCGAAGGTCAAACAAAAAGAAAAAAACAGCAACAGAAACAACCACTGCCGATGGCACGCGCTACGGAGCGTTCGAGACTCCCTTTCCCCTTGTGTGGGCTTGCGGCCCACGGTAGCTCAACTCCGACGGGGGGATAAGGAAAAATGCCCGGCCAGGGAGGATAATGGTGGTAGAGACTTGTGAAGTCTTGAGTGCTCGACGAGTTCGGGTTAGGCGTTGTCTACTGAAACGTGACCGCGGTTCGCCGGGTTGTAAGGCCAAAGCTCGTTGAGTGTCTTCGACTCCTTGAGTATACTTTAAGGTCTTCGACGGGGGCTCGATTAGCACTACTCGACGGGAACGTAACTATGTAGCAGCGCTACGACCAACGTGTTGCCCGATGGCAAAACACCGACACTAATGCGATGGCAATCGCAGTTGGTGGCACCAACACTGTCTTGTATGATAAGATCTTCGAAGGAGGCGTCGTTGCAACAGCCTTCCGACGGAACAGGACACTGTAGCAGCGCTACGACCAACGTGCAGCCCGATGGAAATCACACCAACACCGGATCGGTCGCGACCGACTCCAATGGAACCAACACAATTAAGGGAAAAATAGATGTGGAGATAGAAAATGATAGGAATTAGAGATAGAAAAGGTAAAACGATAAGGATAGGGGACCCCGAGCAATAAAGGATGTCGTTAGCAGCGTAGAAGTGAAGCGCGTCGCGTGAACGGAAGCGGTCTTCGACGAAGGCGAGATCTAATTCTGGCAACTCGGGTTACCTTCACTCACTTGGATTGGTAACTAGACTATGCTATATAGCCCCGCCGGGGCGAGTAAAGTAGCTCCCGGCTCTAGATTCTAGATCTAATTTGTAAATAGAATTAAATAATTAAAATAATCGTGCGCATCGTTCCACACGTGTGTCCTCCAGCCCGGACCACAGTATCCAATTTTTTTCTTTCCTCACTTCCTTTCACCCTCCTACCCGAGACGGGTATTGCACTACAGGTGTACGTCTACATGATATAATGCTATCACTGTAAACACTATTGCCCACACATTTGTTCTGTTATCTATGAGTTTATCCGTCGCCTCTTACAAGCCACTCTTACATGTGAGTATTGCCCCACTATATGTTCTCTCTCAATACTTAAGAACTGCATTGGAACCTCGATCGTGCGTTTTCGCGAACGATACGACCAAACCTTCGCACTTATACCGGCCTGGAGTGTTCTCTTGCCCTCCTTTGATTCTGTACTGCCCAGCATCTCTCTGCGGACTTCGAGCATACGGGGAAATACACCGGTGTAATACCTGTTGCCACTGTCCCGTATTGCAGCGTCCTTCTTGAAAAGAATATGTGATAGCCGTTTGTCAGGGACCAGTATCTTTCGAACTCTTCAATTGCAGAGCTGGTTCCATATGGGGTCTATTCTTCT